CATCATAAATTTTGTATGTAACTTACATGTAACTTACATGTAAGGTAAGTATGTAAGTTACAACCCTTACAACCCTAATTGTATAACTGCAAACATAAGTAAAGCTCAAATTTTACCTAGGCACACCAACAAATTTCCACAGTTACATGATAATTAAAAAAAAATTTGGGTGGACATTCATATTAGGGTTGGGTGTTAGTAAGTGTTTTAGCAATATTGCTCAAGAAGCTTTTGTTAAGGCACATAAATTGGTTTCTTATGGGAAAAAAACAATTTTTTAAATGAACATTTCTACCAAAAGCATTGCAGGCATGTGATATATCAAACTTGATTAAATATTTTATTAAGAATAAGCAATGCAACTGATTTATAAAATTAAGGCAGGATAGCTCCCGAGAATAGCAACTATAATTGTGCCGGGTATCACCTTTATCAATTGGATTCACGATGCGTAATATCTGCCAGTAGTATCCCACACTGCATAAAGCAGGAATATTTTGATACGAAGTTTAAATAGTTATTACAAAATGCGAGATACTACGTGGATTCCACATGGAATTTACATGGAGTAGAAGAAACCAGGTGTGAAGCTGCTTCTTGTGGATGGCCGTCGTAGTTTGCTTGTACGTTGTAGGAGGGAAAGATCATCGTCGGGGTGGCTCGAGATGATTTGTTCGATTCAGATAGAAATCTGCCAAATATGCCATATACGACAGAAAGGGTAGATAGAGCAGATATCATAGAAATGGTAGAACTAGTGGATATGGTATAAAAGGTAGATAGAGAAGACATGGTAAACAGTACTCTTATAACGAAAAATGTATATAAAGGCCTGATGTTTTTACTTGAATAAAGAACAACTCACCCTTGAGTTTTAACTTCAATGTAATATTAAAAGTTGTATCCATATTTCCTTATTCATTATAATATCGTATTCCGTTTCGTCGTTCCCAGAAAAAATCAATATTCTTGTTTCGTAAAGGTAAAAAAAAAAGTATCAATTAGTAATCAGATCACCTTTATATTAAAAGTTACAATTGATTAAGATTTATCAATTTTGCTATTGCTATACTTCTATGTCAATCTTCTACGGACACATGTAGATCACGTTATTTTACGCGTTTGAATGCCATGTGATATTTAACGTACAGAAGTAGAATTTTTCTTAAATTTTGGACAAATTTCCTCAACATCTACCAATAGATTCGATAAAAATTTACTTAATCAATTCCTCAACACCTACCAATAATGAATTAATAGAATTCATTTAAAAAAAAATTCATCAAATTCTATCAAGTAGTTGTTGAGAAATTTTCATACAAGATTTGGAAAATTTTCTGTCACCTAAGAAAATAACTGGCAAAAAGTTTTCTAAGCTTTGACCGAAAATTTCCTGACAGACATCCAATAGTAGTTGATGAAAATTTTTTAGATCAATTCAACTAATTAGTAAAATTCATTTAAATAATTTTTATCGAATTCTATCAAGAAATTTTCAGGAATATTTTTCTATAATCTAAATAGTTGCGGCAAACATTTTTTAGTCTTTGAACAAAAAAATTTCTCAACAACTATCTAATAGAATTCAATAAAAATTTTTTAAATAAATTGAATAATCTAGTAGAATTTATTTAAAAAAATTTCCAGACAACAAATCTACAAAAAAAAATTTCAACTAGTTAAAACAAATCATATTTAAGGTGCAGTTAACTCTTTTTATAACAAGCTGTTGGTTCTAGCTATAAAGGAAAGCAATCTTCTTTAGTATAGGTGTGCAATATAAGATTATTATGATTTATAATTTATAAAAACCAAGTATTTTAAACTATAACCCTCACCCTAACCTACTTATTTATAAATTTGCTTAAATTAGTTAATTTATAATTTTATATTAATTTATATGCCCATTTATACTAAAGATCAACCCAAAAGTTCTTAGTTAAATTATATCCAGAGTTTATTATATAAAAAGTTGACTATACCGGGAAGCTGTTCTTCATTAACATGAAAAGTCCCTCCTTATACATTTTCCACTTATGGGCCACTGTGATCTACCCTTATAAATTCTATCATTCTCTCCTTACTCCCAACATTTCTTGCAATCCTGCACATGGATTGTGAATACCCCAGACTCAGTTGGTAGTGAAATTCAAAAAAAAGAAAACTTCAACAATAATTGCTAATCTAATCATTCCATTGAAATTTCATCGCCAACTATAAGCACAATGGTAATTACTCATCCCTACACAATGCGTAATTATGCATTCGGTGTCTAAGCCAAAATACATGTCTTGAGGAACCGTACACAATGTGAAAATCTGGAAAATAATACCAATAGCTTATATATTCTTTACATTCATAGATTTAAGTCTTGTTATAAATCAAATTTATGGCAATATTAATGTTAAATTTTCTTAGCAGTAATTAATGTTAAGCAGAATATAACTACAATTGTTTAACCAACTATATGAATGTTCATGTTCTGTATAAAATATTTATTCGTTATATATAATCGTTATATTCAATATATTTATTTAAGAGGCGCGTAATTTCTGACATTCAAGAGCGTTATTTTGAGTCAAATAAGCAATTTTCAAAAAAATTTGGAAATTTCAAATAAACGTTTATGTGCATTTTTACACACAAAAACGGGAGCCCTAATTTCCCCACCAATTGTGGTTGGACGCATGAAATGCCGTCTTCAATTGGGTAAACTAGATCACGCCACCTTAAGCGCAGCCGCAAAATCAAAAAATCAAAAATAAAATAAATATTAAACGAAAGTATTTATTTATGCACTTTCAAAATTCTTTCTTCTACTATAGTAAAAAAAAAATTGAGATCAAACATTAACGAAAATTATTGCTTCTGAAGCAACATGAAAATTTTATAAAGTCTTTTGTTCGGTACTTTATTCTCAAGAAAATAAAATTTAGTTGAGACCTACGTTTACAAGCTTGTAATTTTAAAAAATACCCAACTCTGTTTCAAAATTATGTTCTGCCACAATTTTACTTTCGTTTAAAAAATAAATGACACGAACATTTGAAGTATTTTAAATTCATTTTTATTGTTCAGTTACAATGCCGCAAATAAATAAAATGCTACTGCAAATTGCTAATTAAAGATTTTTTTTTTTTTTTAATACTAATACAATAATGCGCTCAAGTTTCAAAAGCCATTTTCCGAAAGAAAAAAAATAATTAGTCAGTGCTAAGTTCTTTCGGGAAAATAGCTTTCGGAAATCGTACAGTCCTTGACACAATATTTCAATAGGTGCTAATTTGTTTATTAGTAATGCGGAAAATAAATGTTATTGAAACATTGATATGAAATATGAAAACGATGATTCAGAATAGCCAAATTATGCTCGTATTTCTAAAATGAAGAAGCAATGGAGAAGCTTTCTACCAACAGTCAAGAAACTCAACAGAATACCACGGCAAAATTGGAAAACAGCTCAACAAATAATGAAATAATTCGTATTTATGTATTTTTCTTCGAAAAATTTGGCCAAATAGCAAATAAAATAATTGTAATTCCATTCAAAAACCCTTCCGTCGAACTTTCCAATTTTCTTTATTTGAAAAGCGACAACTCCAACTAGTAACAATCGATCAACATAATGGATCGTTTTAATCAACAATGGCTAAAATTGCTCACTGCTAAGTTGCTAAATAATTAGTAAATTTTTTATACGCTTACAAAAACTAAACAAAATAAAACAAAGCAAAATAAAAAAAAAACAAACTAATACTTATTTTGTTTTCAGATTTTCGTATAGTAGTATGATTTAGATAATAAGAAATTTTTGGCAAAAATTTATTTAAACGTTCACATGAAATTATTACTAAAAAAAAAACTTGAAAGTGCTAAAACCATAAGAGCAAACCGTAGTGTTAAACAGCGAAAATAATTATTTTTAAAAAAAAAAAAGAAAAAAATTTTTAATCAATGTAATCATTGCGAAAAGAAGTAATTTATTCTTTAACTGCGACGCATTAGATGGTTACATAAAATTTTTAGCCACCCTGATCGATGATGTAATTGATTTCGTCCAATGACGATATTTGATTTAACCAGCTTTTATACAATTTCACATGAAAAATTCGTACGTACGTGCGTACTTACATTTCTCTTTGTATATAACGCCTTATTGTATAAATCACTGTAATGGCCTCAACATATCTTGACGACGTAACTGATGATATTAAACAATTATATGAAACTAAAGAAGATTATGATGCGATTATTATTGTTGGAGAAGAACCAAATGTTAAAGAATTTCAAGTCCATACTTTGATTCTTCGTATTAGATCATCTTACTTTCGTAGTGCATTTTCTTCTAATTGGGCTGTAAGAAACGATAATGGTCATTTAGTTTTAAAAAAACCTAATATTAGTGCATTAGTCTTCGAAATTATTCTTAAGTAAGTAATGAACGTTTAAACTATTATAATAATCATTCAAAGTTCTAGTAATTCTAATTTCATGTTAAAATTATTACACGTTCAAAAAGGTATCTTTATTGTGGAATAGTGGACTTTCAAAGCCAAAAAAACGAAACAATCCTAGAACTTTTAATTGCTGCAGATGAACTTGGAATTCAAAAGCTTATTGATTCTATCCAAGAATTTTTAACCAAAAATTGTAGCAAGTTCTTACAACAAGATCCCGTTAAAATGCTTGACCTTGTTACCTGTCATAATGCATTCGATAATCTTAAAAATGTTTATTTAAAGACCTTTAATGAAAATTATAAAGATTTTTTGCAAAAAGATCCCATTAAATTACTTAATTTTATTATCCGTCACGAAGAATTTAGCGAATTTCTAAAAGTTTCTTTAGAGATTATTTATGAAAATCCCGAATTAATATTTGATTCAAGCGAGTTCCTTTCATTAGAAAAAGATGTATTGGTATTGATTCTTAAGAGTGATGATCTCGAAATGAAAGAAATTGAAATTTGGAAACAACTAATTAAATGGGGAATCGCTAAACATCCGACGTTTCAAAATGATGTCAAAAAATTTACACATGAAGATTTTAAGACATTAGAAAAAACATTACATGAATTAATTCAACTTGTTAGATTTCATCAAATAACTGGTGAAGAGTTTATGTGTGAAGTATGGCCATCTAGACACCTCCTTCCTGATAACCTGATTGAGGATATATTTCGTTGCTATTTAGTTCCAAGTGCCATACCGAAGTATCATGTATTTTCAGTCAGATTGGGCAACTTTATATTGGGCAACTTTTTTAAACCAGATTCAGGTTTAATTAATAATAAGATTGCATTATTATTAATAAGATGAATAGATAAAAAATCTATAGATGATACGATTTCAAAAGTTGAATATAATTTTAATCTTCTTTTTCGAAGTAGCATAGATGGTCTTAGAGCTCAAATATTTCATCAAAAATGTGATAATAAAGGGGCAACGATCGTTATAGCGAAAATTTCAAATTCAAATATGTTGGTCGGTGGTTATAATCCACTTGACTGGAATGGAATTAGTACATGGAAACAAACAACAGATAGCTTCATATTTTCTTTAAGTGATTTTAATAATCTCCAAAGTGCAAAATTAGGACGCGTTACTAATAGTAATAATGCAGTTTACTGCAATACTTATTTCGGTCCAATTTTTGGATTGGTAATGATTTGCTTGCTCGAAATAACGATAGCAATTGGACTAGTACAAGTTCATCCTACCCTAACATTGGAATTCCAAGTTCATTTAAAATCTCAGATTATGAAGTGTTTCAAGTAGTTAAGAATTAGTAAT